CCGCCGCCACTTCAACAACCTCCGCACCATCAAATGATCCTCGGTGACAGTAGTGGCGAGGACCACGAGGTTGAAATTAAGGCGCCAAAGAAGCGCGCTGAGACTTGGGTAAAGACGAGACGAGAAATCTCATTGCTTTTCGTCGGGAAATGGATGGCTGTTTTAATACCTCCAAATCTAATAAGCACTTGTGGGAACAAATATCATCGAAGATGAGAGATAAGGGATTTGATCGATCTCCGACTATGTGTACGGATAAGTGGAGAAATCTGCTAAAGGAGTTTAAGAAGGCGAAGCATCAAGATAGGGGCGCTGGGTCCGCTAAGATGTCGTATTACAAAGACATCGAGGAGATTTTGAAAGAGAGGAGCAAGAGTGTGTGCTACAAGAGCCTTACTCCTCCAAAGGTTGAATCCTATATGCACTTCTCTGATAAAGGTATCCACTGTTCCCTTGTGTTGCAACTTGCAATTCTGATTTGCCTGACTGAATCTATGTGGGTGATTCGCACATTTGTGAAGAGGGATTGTTCCGAGCAGCATTGCTCAGCTGTTTATTGTCCTATCGTTTCTGAATTCTAACAAATTTGGTTTTGTCATGAATATCCTGCCATCGTTTTGTTAGGTTGTACTTCTTTTCTCACAAAAGGGAATGGGTCTATAGGCTAAACAACAAAATTATTACTGTTTGTGCAAGTTATAATTGGAGAAGACTGCCTTATGCATGACGCCAAATCCGCTAATCATTTCCGAATTCTGAAAAAATTGAGCAGACAAGATGGCATCTCTATTATTTGATTTATAGGATTCATAAGTTTCAGCAAAAATTGCAAAAAACCAGCTGACTCTAAGGCTTGCTGGCACTTGGGGGTGTCTCAGACATCGGAGAGATCCAGTACATTTCTCTTTATTGTATATTTTTCTAAGAAAATATGTGAGTTTGATAATTCCTCTGACCCAAAACCTCTGGCATTAGGTTTATGGTCTTTTCCCATTATATATTTCCCCTCCATCCAAATATATTCAACGTGCGATTTCTTTCTACTTTCTTTTCATACTTGATCCCAACATCTCCTTTAAGTGTGGGTTTATGACATGCTGACACAAGAGCCTTACCATTGAGCTTTTGCTTCTATGTGACTGCCTCCCGATCGCCAGACCTGGGTCACCATATACCTATCATGGTCAAACATCGGCTTTGATACCACTTTAGTGGCCTAGGAGATTCTAAAAAAAATTCATTGGATCTGCCATGCAGGAATTTATAAATAGAATGCTCCTTTTTCTTGTGATAGAGGTTATTACATTGATTTTATTATAGTAATAGTATATCAAATATATCCACGATTGCAGTATCATGTTACTGTCACCTTAGGATAGGAAGGGACACCTGAAAAAACATTAGGGACAAAAATGAAATTTAAATGGAGCTTCAGGGATAAAATATTGTTTCATGCTGATGCTTAACTCTGTATGTGGCTCATCAGGCAGAAATTATAGTCCCAAAATTTAGAGGTTGAATGGTGATCTTGCTTCAGTCCAGGATAGCTTTCCGATTCAAATGAAGTTTTAGTGCATGTTTGGTTTCATGTTGAAAAACCATCAAAATCATGGTTTTGGTGGTAGTCATGCCCTTCTAATGTTTGTTGCTTATGAACTTACTCCGTTCTCCTTTAGAAAAAGATTGTTTGACTAGTTATGTGGCTGTACAGGTATGGAGGATACCAGCATTTCTTTTGGGCCTGTTGAAGGTATATCAATATAAAAGTTCCTCTCCAAATTTTGTTTGATTTCCTGAAAAATTTCATATTTGATAATGGTTGCTATATATCATTTAGGATCATAATTTGATTGTGGAATTTTGATTTTAGTTATTAGTCAATTGCACTGGTAAGTGTTTGCTGCATTTAGATCGCATGAAACCTGCATCATTTTTCCATCAATTTCTTTTTTTTGGTATTAATGGTCTGATGGTTAAATACTGGTACGTTAACAGAAAAGTTAAAACTATTATTACCTACCTTCAATAATTGCCACCAACCTTTCAAATACCAGGGTAAAACTCCCCAATTACAATCCCTAAAACTACTACTGAGAATTTCAATATCTTCAAGGGATCAAGAACACAAATATGCATGTGGAATTGAGGTTTGTCGGCAACTAGTGGTTGTTTCCACGTGATGATAGGAACAGTGGGATAAATAATGAAATGCTTCTAGAGCATGAGAATGAAGGGTTTTTTGGTCATGATAATGCGCATGGAAACTTGTTAACTTTATGATGATGATGATTTTTTTTCTTTTTTGGTTCATATTTCATATAGCAATCGGAAGTATTCGTATTACTAAATGCAATTTGATGCAGGAAACATTAAGAAAGAAAGAAAGTAAAATTAGTAATCCTTGTGAAATTGATTTTCCTGTAGGGGATTTTTATTTTACTTTGGGATTCCTGGGTTCGGTGATTATAAATAGGTTTCCAGGCTAGTGATGTAATTTACAATTTGTCTCAAACTATTACAAATTGTCCTCTATCGGTTTTTTACCCTAACTTAGCATCTGTTTGTTGCAGCCCTTTAATGTTTAAGAATGATTTAACACTAATCATCATCATTTAATCCAATTTAGAGGAGACATTAAAACTGTAAACTGATTGAAGTATTCTTATTTTTCAAAAAAGCTTGAATTAGATAATGTTTGACTTCATTTACACATATACTGTTTATTCCTTCCGTGGTAGTCTTTGGCACTTCGTATGTTTCATGTTACTCAAGTACCTGGCGTTCAGGTTCAGCCACTGGCAGATCAACACTCAATCTTGAGAATCGTTTGGATCACGATGAACATCCTCTTGCAATTACTGCAGCTGATACTGTTGCCACAAGTGGAGTTCCTCCTTGGAGTTGGAGAGAAACTCCTATAAGCGGTAAGCTATATATAGATTCCTTGTTTGATGTGTGCTTGATCACAAAGAGAGAAGAAAGTGACAATAAACAGGAAATATTAATGTTGCATGGCTAAAGGTTCTCAATTAATAGTAATACATATGAAACTGTTTGAAGTGACTTACTTTTGTTGAGCCATGTTTTTTGTCAAGTGATTTTATCAGTATGACCTTCAAAGATTATAAAATTCCCAATAATAATTTCAAAGATTATGCATTCTTAAGACCTTCCTTTTATATGATCTTTGATTCCTTCATGATTTGAATCAATGATGATGAAAATAATTTTGATTTGGTGAGGCTGAGTCATTAATGAGATAAACCCTATGTGTGTCTATATAAGGGAGGAGGAAGGAGGAGGGGAGAGACAAAAGAATTGGAGCAAGAGGGAGACAAGAAAATTGAGGTGCAAAGAGAGAGAGAGAGAGAGAGAGAGAGAAGAATAGAAAAGAGAGAATTAGAGCTTGCTTGGAAAGGTAGAAATTTTTTTCTTTCTTCTTTCATCCCTTCTCATTGACATCGTACATGATAAGGCTTGTTATTGTTGTTGTTGTTGTTTCATCCCTTCTCGTGACAATATGGGCAGGAATAGGTAGAAAACATCTTGTTTTTCTCCTTTATCTTGTATCCCATTCTCTAACATTCCAATATATCCAAGGAAGGCGTACGCTCTCTTGGTTGAGATCATATGCATCAGACTCAACACTAACGCCTAGTGGGTTGAATTCAATATGATTTGAAAGGACTAATGCTTGTGTTGTTTTTTTTTTAATTTCTTTTTTCTTGTACTTTCCTGTTTTATTTCCTCTTCTCTTTCCTTTTATTTCTTATTATTATTCTTATTATTATTATTTTTTTGTTCTCATTTTCTTGGTATGCTAGCGTTATAGTGGATGATGCAAGAGCATAACATGATTGACTTGCTTTTGCTTAGTGATAGGCTTTGCCTTGATTTTGCTCTTCGCTTTCTTTCTTTTGCCTGGTACTTCTTTTCCCTTTCTTGGTTTTAATTTGCTTTGCATATCTGCCCAAAAATTATGAAAGGAAGCCATAGGAATGTAATGCAATATGATGCCTTTGTGTGAAATTGAATGTATCAGACTCAGTGCCATTAGAAGACATGGAACATGTTCTTTATTGAGGGCTGAAGTCATTGTTTTCATATTTAATTCAAACAAGTGTGTTCATGGAGGTGAAGTTCTCATGGTCAAAATCAATATGATGGATTTTGAATGGCATTTGGCACAATGTAAGCTCACTCATTTTGCTTTCATTTCATTATTATGAAAATAAATAATATATTTTCCTTAAAAAAATACCAACCAAGTAACACACATTTTTACCTTTTGAATTACGTGAATTTTGATGTCCTCTAACTGTTACATATGCCTTAGGCTCTCATCTTAGGTTAAGTTCGTCCTTGTAAATAAATTATTTTTTTTCCTTACCTTAATATTTTTTTCATCTATTCATTTATCTTAATAAGGGTAATTATAATACAATAAAGGCCATATTAACTTTGGGTAGAAACTTAGAGTAAATGTTCTAACAAACGGGTCTTGTAAGGTGCCTATTTCCCACACACAGTCAACCCCTAAACCCTATTTTGTTTTTATAAACCATGTTCTTTTTCCTAAGAAGTTTCCAAAATTATCCTTTTTTAAATTTTGGTGCTGAATGCTATTTTATTTGATTTTCCGTTCTGAAAAATGGAAATTTGGGCGACATTAAAGCATTTTGTTTTGTAGAAGCATTTGACTTTATCTTAATACTTTTCTTGTTTATTCATCTTTAATATTTTTAGCAGGTGGGGAAGGTCAATCATGTGGAAGGGTTATAACAGTCAAATGGGGCGACTATACAAGAAGAATAGGCATTGATGGTACTTCAGAAGCCATCAAAGAGGCAATAAGAGCTGCTTTTAGGTTGAGAAGCAAACGTTTGTTTTGGTTGGAGGATGAATACCAGATAATAAGGAGTCTTGACCGAGATATGCCTCTAGGAAATTACACTCTTCACCTTGATGAAGGTATATTAAGCTTATTTAAATCTTCTAGAAATCATTCTGTTTTGTAGACACAAGTTGGTTCTGACAAGTGCGTTACTTCCATGCACAGACGGCTGAGGATGGAATGGAGCGAGAATAATTGTTGGTTTATTTTGATTTACCTAATGCCATTGATGTTAGTCCATCAATAATTACTGAGCAATCTGCTCTGTTGAATCATGTAACTTTTAGCCAGTGCCAGGAAGTTAGGTTCAGTCAGCAACGAAACCCATGAATAAGGAGTAAACTCTTTCAAACACACAAATAAAAATGGAGTAAACTTTGTCATTTCCTGCTAGGTGATCAGCTCATTAGTTCGTGGTCCCATTATTAATCTGAACGATTGATTGCATGTGAAAAATTGAAACTCATACTCAAAGTGTGTGCTTGCTGAGTAAGACTTGAAATTATGATTGCAGGAATGGCCATTAAAGTATGCCACTATGATGAGTCTGACCAAATCCATGTTCATACTGAAGAGAAAATCTTTTACACCGAACAAGATCACCGTGATTTTATGGCCCGACGGGGCTGGACTTGTCTAAGGGAATTCGATGGATATAGAAACATTGACAACTTGGATGATCTTCAACCTGGTGCCGTGTACCGTGGTGTGAGTTGAAGACAGGTGCACATGGTATGTCAATCTTCGGCTATCCGCTTAATATGTCTAGAGAACTTAGGGGACTGTATATATCTCTTTGAGATTCATGCAGCACAATCATGGGGTTTTATTTGGAAGTATATTTGTAGGAATATTGATGTGCATAGTTTATGCTGTTCTCTGTAGATCCAGCATGTATGTAAATAAGCAATTTCTAGTGCTATAATCTTCTTGTTAGAGAAGTTACCATTGTTAGAAAAATATCGCAGTGTTCGACAAAAATATTACAGACCTCTCCAATATCATAGGAAACTGGAAACTGAACTTCGTCGACAGCACAAGTGTCCTTTTTTTTTTTTTGGGTGTAAAACGACAAAAGCAAGTCGCAAGAGCATTTAATCAATTTTCAAGATGGCTTGCAAATTCATCTGATTTCTCATTAAAATAGCACGAATTTTTTTATATCAAAGGGAATTTTCCCCCCCTTTTGTGGGTTTAGGGTTTGCAAAAATGCAGCAGATGATGTGATTTGAAACCCCTTTATTTATCCGCTGTCAGCAAATGCCTGAGCTTTAAACAAGAACATTATAACCAAGAAGTTAACGAATCATTATACTAATTTAACGAAGAATTTTCTATTACGATCACACTCTGATCAGTGTTTGCCCGGAATTATCATCACAACCGAAATCATAGTCAACTACAATTTTGGCATACGTGGCACATTTCTTGCAGCCACAAACAAGTTGAACAATACAACAGAAAAGCGGTTTGTACTGTCTCAGATTGGGTTGACCATCATACGCATGGACAGACCTAAGACACTCTGACAATTTGTGAATAGAAATTCACGGTAGACAAACACAGGAATAGAACAAAATCAGGAAAATAAGTATGAATCTACTGTTCATCCCACTCGTCGTTCTTGTAGGAAACGAGAGTATCAACTTTATGAATCTGCATTGCAAAATAAGAAGGGGGGGGGGAATTTGTGAGTGACCACAGAACATACAAGTAGTTGAACTGCATGTAGATTGCTCACCTTGGTATCGAAGGAATGCAATTTCACCATTTGTGGATTTGCAATAAGTTTTGGATCACTCTCAACCCAAGTGAATGGAACCGCCACATCTTTGTCAGTGTATGCCAACACATCAAAAACACCTGAAACAAGCGGACCCCATATCGATGTTATGTTTCGTTTTAGTTAAGAGGAAGAAACGAGGGAAAATGCAGAGGTGGGAAGTTTTCTATCCATGATGCTTATCGATTCCTTACAAGTTTCATCAAGGCATGGCAAATAGGTAATGCTTGAAGCAATCTGTCGCATAATTGCTTGTATCTCTCTCATTATTTCCTTGTCACTCTTTTCCCTTGATACACTGAAAGATCAAATCAAAAAGAAAAGCATAAATGAAGAGCAGAGTACTTCAGACACTAGAATTAATAAGAAGACGAAAAACATATTGTTGAGTTTCATCTAATACAAGTCCATAAAATAAAACAAAGTTTCATTTTTCAAGTGTCTGAACAATAAAACAAAGCTTCATTTTTCAAGTGCCTGTGTTTCGTAGTTCCCGACAAAAGATGACAACGAAAATTCATATGGAGACTCGGTTACTTTACCCTTTTTCAACAACCTCAGAGTCGGTCTCAATGCTGAAATTCCACCTTTCAAGGACTTCACCAGTGGCCTTGCTCATTATAACGAGGACAACCCTCTGTAACTTCCCAGCTTCAAGCCATTCTTCACAACATGAGAGATTCGGATGTTTCAATCGTCAGTAATGGTCTAAGACATCAAAATTACTCTCTCTCTCTCTCTCACTCACACACACACACACAGTTAAGTTGAAATTGACAGCACAGATAAGGCCAGTGGGTCTGTTGATACTAACAATGATAAAGTCGAAGTAAGTTTAAAGCCTCCAAATAAAGTTATTCTGTGAATTTCTTCAATCACTTCCAAGCATGGCATTAAGAAAAAAGTTTCCAGACATTAAAATACTGCTCTGTTTCAGTTCAGCTGGAATTGGCAGCATTAAGAAGATGATGAACTGGAAATATATTTAATCCTATAACTACCAAGTCGCTATAAATTTACAGTTCCCAAAATTTCGGCACTCCACGAATTGTTTGAATCATGTCCCATCATAGTATAAGAAAAGGCTTCAAACAACAAAAAGTGCTTCAGTTCAGTTGGAATTGGCGGCATCAAAATGATAAGGAAGCGGGCAAGTTTAATACTATTTTTGCCTAGTACAAATAAATCTCAAGTTCCAATTTACGCTAATCAACCACCGTCAATCGTCGAATAACAAGAAGGAATTAGGGCCTTACGAGTAAGCTGAGCAGTTAGATTGGCAATGAAAGATTTGACCCCCTCATCTTGTGTGAGCAACATTGGGAGGCCATATTTCTTGACCTTCGAAAAGCTTTCTTCTGGGTAAACTCCTCGATTGTAAAGAATACTGAGACAAGGTTTCCAATCAAAATAATTGTTATCAGTATAACCACACAAAAAATTGAAACCGAGCGCGAGAGATAGTGAGAGAGAGATTTAGTTCAGAATTGATCACCTGTTGGCAGCATATCCTGATCAGGAGAAATAAAAATTAAAAAAGAAAAAATCAGATCGGAAAACCCCAAACCATTTCTGGATGAAAGGAATCGGTACGAGAGAACAAAGGAGAGTTAACATACCAAAGAACTCGCTAACTATCGCAGCAGAACCCCGAAGAGTGATGATATCCTTAGCGACTGTTCTTGAGGCCATGTCTATTGCAAACAGAGGAGGCTATGTTCGAATCGACAAGAATATATGATACTGGATCGGATGAGTTATGATGTTAAAGCGGGAGATTTGGTTGAATCGATTAATAGGAACGATGAATAGAAGAAAAAACCCAAAACTGGTGGGATGCGATTTGTAAAACACTTGCACGAAGAGGCGCACTAGATTAGGGCTTCGAAGATAATCAGCGTAACGGCTAGTTCCGTTTTTGGTTTTGGTTTTTAAAATTGGTGCGTCTTCAACGGTCAAATGTTGATCGCCCAGAAAAACAAAACGGTCTGGGTACTTGGAATGGACTTTTTTTTTTTTGGGGGTATCGTTTTTTTCCTTTTACTTTCATAACACATCCCACTTTTATTTCTTTATTACTCATCAACCAAAGATATTTCATTCTTGATCCTTTAACTTTATATAAAATTTTAATTTAAACTTTTAATTTTAAAAAATATTTTTTTAATTTTTTAATTCTAATACCAATAGTTTTAAATGATTAATTTTTGTATCAATTATTATTATTTTAAAAAAATTAAACTTAACATATCAACATTTGAGAACGTCTTGTTTATGTTTGAAAGTTTAATATATAATTTTTTTATAATGAAATTAACAGTATTAGGGTTAAAAGATTTAAAAAAATTATAAAATTAAAAGATCAAAATAAAATTTGGCGCAAAATTAAATGACTAAAAATATGCTTTAGCCGTAACATTATAATGTTTAAAATTTCATAATGTATTCTCCAAAATCTTCAAAAATTATGAATTTGAAATCAATGAAAAGTTTGAAATGTCTACAGTCAAATGCAAAAAGTCCCATTTCAAAATGATATTATTTGTTGCTTCAAATAATCCATCAAATAGTTTAACTCTAATTAGCTTGTTGGGTAATTTAATTTAATTAAATAGGTTGTTATAATCTTTTTTTCTACTAATTCTCTTAAACTTTCATCTCAAAAGAGTTTCCTTGATTAATCCTTTATCATCAACTTCAGATAAATTAATTAGAAAAAAATTGAAAAGTTACACATGATTTTTTTAACATGTTAACACGTTCACCGAATATTAGTAGAAGATGTGCACAGAGAGAGATAAGCGAGAAAGGCTGTGAGATTAAGAGTGTGAGCTCGAGTCCTTTAGCCTCAATTGATTCTTTAACTGGACATGAGGGTAGGGGTTTGCCAAAAGAGGAAGTAGATGTGGTTGCTAGGAATATCAAAAAGATGAGTTCTGATATGGTTATGGAAGACAAAGCAAAAGACTCTAAGGATGAGGACATGAAGGAAGCTGAGCCTTCAAAAACACAAGGTGAGAAGAAATAGATGCAAGACGATGCTTCAAAACACCAAAAAACGCAGACTTCATATAAGGAAAAGCTTACAGGGAAGGAGAAGTTTGAACAAGATTTTGAAGAACAGATGAAAGAATGGCTAAAGGAGGAAGAGGAAACGACACCTATCCTTATTGAGGCACAAAAGAAGATTGTTGATTCCCTTCTTAAGATGGACTTGCCTATTGATATACTGACACAACTATGCTTACCTTGGAAGGATGTAACTTTTCAAGTTTCTAATTTGGAAACCTAATTTTTAATTAAGAATAAATTAGTAAATTTGTGAATTAATTAAGTTAATCATATGTTAATTGACATTTTGGATCATAGATAGCTTCAAGATTGGACTAGGGCAAAAATTTGATGGAATTGGGTTTGAATAGCATGGGGCAAAGTGAGAATTACTTATTGTATCACATATCATAGCTTGTGCACACATGTTGCGGCATGTGGTATAATTTTAGCTTTAAGAAGTGTGAAATTTAGTTGAGAAATTAGAAGATAGGCTTATGTTTTGGTGAGCTCAAAGGAAAAAAGATATGTTCTGCTAAGGCCTTAATTTGAGTGATCTTGAAAGCTAAGTTAGACCAAACTTTGGGGTAAGCTTTCTACTCCTCATTTCTACCTTTGCATCTTGTTTTCACAGGATTTGGGAGTGTGCATAGTTGTCTTGAGTTGGAGGGGCTAGGGATCTATGCTTAAAGGCTTGCATATGACTCCAAGAGTTTGATTTAAGTTTCTTTATCTTGGAATGAGTGATTTTTGAAGTTTAAGGGGTTGGGTGTTGTAGGTTGAATAAACCCTAACTTGATTTTAGGAATTTGAAGTTATAGGAGTGGATTAAGTGAGTAATTGAGTTTTATAAGTGCTAATGAGAATAATAAGTGGGTTGTAGCTTTGAATAGCTCAACGATAAATGATATGGGTTGTGGGTAGCTAAATCTAGTTAAATTCTACTCAGAAGTACTAACGTTAACTTGAAAAAATGACATATAGTGCTTCATATTGTAGATTTTGTAGTTAGGATCTTCTTGACATTAAGGAAGTAATAAGAGCATATGTGGACTAAAAAGTGATGCATGCCTAAATGTTTTTTTTAATAAGAGAGTAAAAGTATTAACTAATGCATGATTACTAAATTGAAACTAGAGCATTTTTTCTTGATAAATTGTGGTAATGTGATTTGTACATACATGATGATTATGGTGAATTGGTCTTGTATGATATGGTGATTATGGTGAAAATCATAATACGAGGGTAGGAGTTCACCTTGGGAAGAAGTGATAAAAAAAACTCATATGATCAAACTATTTCCATAGACATATAGGCAGTTATGCGTGATAGGAGAAATCCATAGTGTGAAAGTGGTAAAGTGCCTTTAGTTGAGTAACTCTTTCACTGAAGGTGAGCATACCGGATGAGGTGGTTTGGTCTAGTGGTAAAGTCTACAAATTCAATCAAGAGTAGCGAAGGTTTAGATAGAATTTATGATCTTGCATGCTATTTACGTGATATGTCTATTTATGATATACTATAATTGTTTTAAATACCTTACTTTAATACTTGTTTATAATTTTGCCTATTAATGAGTAATGTAGATCATTCTGGTTATTGAGACATTTATCTTACCCTATGGTTATTATTTTACAAGTTCTAGCCAGTCAAAAAGTAGTTAGTCTACTATTAATAATGCCCTTATTTTGAGTTGTGTATGTGAACGTACATGTAAATATATAATTGCCAATTAGGGATTTCATATATTTTACGTGGTACTTTTATAAGTTGTGTATTTGATATTTTAACCTGAGAATATATGTTTTGAGATACATGTTTAAGAGCTAAAATATTAATACAAACACTAAGTTGGTATAAATGTATATATGGTTGAACTATACTTGTAATGTATATTGTGATATTTAAGCCTTATGTGTATGTTTGAAGAAAACATTGTGGAAATAAGCTAAAATAGGAATACAAGTGTATGTTGTTGTGATTAGATGTAATGTGTTGTGAAGATTTGACCTAGTAATGAAATATGTTTAATTTCATGAAATGGCCCTATTTGTGTGAAATCAAGGAATTGTGGTGAAATCTTGAATATAATATTTTATTGTGTTTATGTTTGTTCAATTAGATGTATAATGGTTCATTTGACTTGGTTCAAGCCTTAAAATTAGTTAATAATATAAGTTTTGAGATTTGGGCAACTTGAATGCATGAAACTACTTTAAAATGGTCATTTTACATTCAAGTATTCAATTTTTAAATGGGATATCAAATTGAAATAAAACTTGTACAATTAGCTTAATTATCAAATAAGCTTCACGTAAACGCTTGAATCACTCCAATTAAATGTTAGATGCAAGAATAGCACACACTAAAAGCTGGCTCAAAAAAGTTGTCATGAAAACTTTTGATATCATGAAATGGTATATGCACCACGGCATGTTTGCATAAGTTGTGGTGCATGACATTAAAGCAAAATTAAGCTTTATGTGTCATATACGTAGCATATAAACCTCAAGCTGTGGCATGTATGTCAGATGTATGGAAAATGACTTTTCTATCCCTTTTTTGTGTTATGTCATTCTTTGTCCTTCCATGCTTCCTATGCTTCTAAAGACTAATTAATTTGAGTTCAAACTATCAATTTGAAGAATTTTTGGGATCCTAAAAGTTTGCAATTGTATTTCAAATATTTAATTAATTTAACCCTTTTGTGATTACAATAAGGTTAAGAGGAATTAATGACTTCTCACTATTGTTGTGTGTAGTAATTGTTTAAGGTGATTATTGGTAAAGTCAAGGTAGACATTACAACGAATGCCTTAGTTCTCACTAGGTTCCAGTTAACTTAAGCAAAATAAAAGATAGGTTATTTTAGATACTCAAATCACAAAATTGAGAACTCATAAACTTAGAAAACGATTATTGTTTTAAAGTTAGGAGATAAAAAACTTTGTATAAGGCTATTATTTTATGGACCTTGAATAATTCGAGGCCATTATTAGCCATCTAGAGGTGGAGCCCAAATTTTAATCCATATTGCAACAAAGTGAAGAAATTAACCATTTGAGTTTGAGCTTATTCTCTGCCATTGCATTATTATTTTGAGCAATTTTATGTTTGAATTGGGAAATATGATTGGAAAGGCTTTAATGGTAGACTTGAACACCTTAGCTCAAAATCAAAGCAACAACAACATGTTGGAAAGGGGAAAATTCACGAGAGTTAGTATGGAAATAAGCCTCAATAAAACCATGCAATCATGTTTGTCATCTAAAAAAGGTGTATCTAGTAGTTTATGGGGGGCTAGAGATCGTAAGTTTCAAGTATGGAAAATTTGGCATACACAAGAGAATTTCCCTCTAAGTGACGTTGTTGATGCACTTGCATCTTTATCAAAAAACAATAACAAAAACGGAGAATAAACAATAGAGGATGAGGAGCAGTTACTTGAACATTCATTGTTTTCCATGCTCGACCTTCTCAATTGAGGAGGCATATGGATCTTGGATGAAGTATAAAAAGACGTTCAAACCAAGATCCCTTATGGTAGACATTGATAGAAAAGTGTTTTAAAGAAAGCTTGAAGCTACGAAGTTAAATAGCAAGGAACAAAAAGAATCCCCAACATTCATATTTGATGTCATATCAAATCTTAATGACAATGACTAGCCTAGAGGAAAAAGAATAATAACAAAGGAAAGGCTCCTGCGACAATGTGGAGAAGAAAATAAAAACAAACTTATACTTCAGATATGCAAAGTGGCAGAGAGTAGAGAAAAAAGAGGGAACCTATTGTGAATATGAAAAAGAGGAGAGTAACAAGCAAGTTGAAAGTGATTTTCACCTTCATTTAGAGTATAAGAAAT